TCCACTTTACTCCCTTGGTACACAATATACTATTACAATAGAATTTGTGGATTAATTGTTAATTGATTGTAGATTATTAACGATAATTAACATGTATGAACAAATATTACTGTCAACGAATAACTACTAGTTTGACGAACGTTTCACTGACACTGACATTGCGCGTGGACTGTACGTCAATAACGTATAAATTGTCAATCAATAACATGCCCCTGTCTTCTAACTATCATTCCATTTCAATACATGTAAGCGATTAGATACGGAATATACGCACACGCGAATAATTTACACTATTAGTAGCAAGTTTATCATTAGCAACATGTTTGTGTTATGTATGGTACGTGTGTACAAAGAAGTAATTGTTCTCAACATTCGTGTGATGTTTAATATTAATTTGCTAGCAGACACGTTTTTATATCGTTGTACAGCAACAGTGTACTCGCGTAGAACCTTCAAGTTTTGTTTAGGTCTGATCGAAGTCCACTGAATATTATATGAACTCTTTCACCACCCACAATATGCACGTTCCTTATGTTTTTTTTGGCCCGATTTCCGACAACGCAGCATGCGCATCATATAAAAAAATTCACAAATTCTGTTGACGACGAAAACAACAATTTTTCACAAAAGTTGGATACAACCGTAAACAAGTGGTTCTCTTGGCATCGCGTAAGTTTCCGCGGAATTTACTTTCCTTCCTTTTTGGTTGTTCAGGAGAAAACATTTTGAAGTTATAGTTCCATTGTGGTACACACGTAGAAGTTATTAAAGGGACGCGGTAAATCCTGGTGACTAGCCTCGGGAAACTTGAGCTAAGTTCTCCGGAACTTGTCAAATGTTTATGCAATTTTAACACGATTAATCTTGGCTCTGTCCAATTATATCACGGTCTGAACTTCCTTTACCTCGTTAATCGAGTTGTAACAGTGATCTTAAAATTAGTGTTAAGCCGCTAAGCTTGTCAACTCTGTTGCCACTTCTAATCATGCTCTTCTTAGCACTCACTGCTGGAGAACTTCAGGGTATCCAGATAATGGGTTGGAAAGAAATCCAATTATAAAGTAATATTATAAATGTTCTTCGTCACAATCTGATTAATTAGAAAATTTAAATGATTGACGAATATAGAATGATGAATCATCAATACCAAAATATTGATACAAAACACTACATCGAAGTTCTATTTTATTTCAACTTTATCTAGGCTTCTTCTGTGAAATCAAAATGATAGCACCCTTAGAAATTGAAGAATGATGAATTATGACTATTAAAAATTTTTATAAAAATTCATACTAATCTGAAATTCGATTCCTGCTAGCAGATGTGCTCGACTTATTGAATCCATGCTGCGAACGTGTGCAGCAGTCATAAAAAATAAATGTCTATTTCCGCCCATTTCGATTTGATCCGTCTTCGTCTCGATTTCTTTATATTAATGTAATAAAATAATTCATTCGAAATCTGGAACTTCTTTTATTTAAACGATTTATCCCTCTCGTGAAAATCTTATCGCGCGACAAGAGCAATTACTCGGTTAAAGACTTTGTCAACACGAACGAATATCAATACTCAGATTATTATTCAGGCTATCACCGAGTTGCAAATAATTGAGTGCTTAGATCCAATATTTGGCCAATTAGTCACTTAACTTAATCGCGGTGATTCGTTTTCGAGTTGAAGTCGACTTGTAAACTAGATAAAAATAATACAATAATTGGTAGATAAAAACGAATTACATCACAATATTTTTTTTTATTTCTTGTATAATAGTTAGAAAAATGTACAACTATATCANGCTCCAGGGACAGGCAAAATTATAGAAGTATGGAATTCCATTGAGTATACTTTTACAAAATCATTGGTTTATAGTACGGAACGTCGATTGAAGCACATCATTACTCCTAAAGATGGTCCAACAAAATATTAATATCAAATAATGTAGTAGCGTTCGAATACTTTTGTGAGCCACTCATTGAGTGTGTTTCTAGTATCATAACTTCTGGTTATGTCTTTGAATAATTTTCAAATTTTACTGACGTCAAATTTGAACATAGATAGATAGATAGATAGAAGATATTTAACTGTAAAATTCACTGGCTCGAAATTTTTATCATTACACATTTATCAAATTGTTATTAATATAAATTACATATCTAATACATGATACTATATCCAGTTTATTTTAATTTAATACAACGTGATACGTCTCCTAAAAGAGAGACTATGAACTTCGCCTTTTTTAACTGTATTTTGAAAAAGGACGTGAATTTTCTTCGTCTCTTATTTCACTTTCTTCTCCATTTCATTGTCACGTTTATATTTACAAAAAGCCTTGAATAAAATTCCCAGTAGGAGTACTGAAACGATAATAGCGAGAACGAAGCAGACTATTAAAAAGGCGAACACGTCGAGCATCTTCCGTTTCCACCAGGGTAAAACCACTGCGGGTGATCTCAGACTATCCGGTCCATTTCTGATCACATATTCAATCCAGTACATCGCCGTCTCTTTTGCGCTCATTGGCCGATCCCTAAACATTCTAGAATTCCTTTTCGCAGATTCCCTAAAAGTAATCATTAGTTCTTTTAATATCTCTTTTTCTGTAATTTATAACGTGATATTAGAATGAAACTATACATGTATTGAATCTAAGAATCGTCACCTGTATTTGGGATCCTTGAGAAGAGCGTTCAAGGCTGCGTCCACAGTCTCTTCGTTGATATTTTCGTGGTTCAGCATCCAGGCCATGTTTTTGTTGATCATTATCCTCACGTTCTTTGTCTGGTCATAGAACACAGGTATCCCTATCATGGGAATTCCGTAGTAGAGTGCCTCCTGGGTTCCCATAAGGCCGCCGTGCGTTATGAATACCCGTGTATTTTTATGCCCTGCGAGAAATACGTCGGACGATTTTTTAATTCCGCCCTGTTTTATCCGGTAAATTAAACAACGGCACCTCAGCGATGACATTTCATTTAATTTCCTTTGAGACGTATAAAGAGAGACGGTCCAAGAAATTTTAATTTTAAGGAGCATCATGCAAAAATAGATTAAAAACTTTTCTGCTCGCAAACTGAGAATTTCAGGATACGTAGGAACGTTTTTTCGCTTACTCAATACAGCAATCTGTTGGATCCAGGGTAGCGTCATCACGTTGCTCGGTAAACCGGGAGGCAGTTTGGTAGTGTTCGAACATTTCACTAGAACCTTAACCGGTGCGATTTTTGCGAACGATGCGTAAAACGCTAGTAGGGCCTCCCTTGGTAGGCTTTCAATGGCCATCAACGAGCCTAACGTGAAGTATACTAATCCGTGGTCCGCTGAGTCCAGCCAATTTTTCAGTTCCTGTTGTAGGAAAACGACAATCCTTTATAAAACAAAATCTTTTTATCCTACTATTCGTTAAGATAGAATTATTAAATTTCTATCGTTTTAAGTGTTCATGTGAGGCGTGCAAATGGCAAATTTTCAAAGAATCAGCAGCAATCACGAAAATCACGAATCACTGAAAAATCACCGTGACTGATAACGAACGTGATCGGATCATGAAAAGTTAAAAAGTAGCAGTTCCAGCCATCACTTAAGAGTGCAAATTTTGAAAAATCCACGAATTGGTATGTAATATTACGCAATATATTATATGCTAAAAAAACGTAAAGATGGTATCTTAAAGTAAAAAATAAAAGAATGGGGAGCATTTATTCGTTTCGCCTAAAACGTGAGAGAAATGATAATAATAATTATTTAATCCTTACCGAGCTTATTTTCTGATCTCTATCAATAATATGTAATCCTCCAACTTCGACAACGGCTGGCGTGATAGGCTTAATTCCGTGATAGCTGTAATGCGAATTGACTAGGGCCAGAGAGACGGTTTTCTCTAGTTCTCTAACATCGGGGATGTCGCTTAAACCAAGATACTTCTTCATTATCTCGTTCTGATTGGACGTGTAGGAGTAAAATTTCTGCATTTCCCAATAATTGACGATGAAGTTCCACAAGCGATCGGTAAACGTTTCGATGACGGGCTTGTCGGTGTATAAGTTCGAAAAGGATGCGTAGCTGAAGGGATTTGCCATGAAATCGTCGACGTACGGCATGTGCATGAAGGATATTCCCACCACTACTGGTGCATTTAAAAGCGTACCAAAACCTAAGTAGCAGGGTGATCCGAAATACTAATGAAAATGACAAAAAAATTAATAATGTAAAGTAAGCAAACAATATAAAATAAATGGATGTGAATATTCAATTTATATTTATATTATAATTAAATCATAACATAATTTGTATTGTTATATATATGTAGACTGTATCTCTTTATAGAATATAAAACGTTTAGGATATCAGTTTATAAGTTATAACTTACAAAAGTTAGACACAATAAATAATAATTTATTATACTAAAATTCTTCAATTTACATTAGTTTTAGACCGAAGGTCATGTAGGACTGCGATGTTTAAAATATCTAATCGTTTGTGGCTCAGAACGACATTGACCGATTTTGATAAAACTTCGTACATAACTTAGATCTACAAACGAGATGTTTTAAATTGTTGTTGGAGACCGTAATAAAATAATCAAAAAACGCAACGTTCACTTGCACATTACATAGTAAACTATATCTAAGATCCCAAAATATTATTATTAAAATTGTGGTGTTTTAATTCCAATATTAAAAAAGTTATTCTGTTTTAAAAAGTGTGCCGATACTATTTTGACTGACTGTAACATCTGTTTAATCATTTTTATCATGTAACAAAATGCCTTACGAATTATTCGATATCGTCGTATCACGAGACTCACAAGCACAAGTGATTTACTCTCTATTTCTTAGGAAAGTGTTACGCAAAACCGGAAATCGACTTTCTACTGTGCAATGTATTGATCGGTACAAGAATGTTGTGTAAGAGAGAAGTTGGATCTTCGATAATCAAAATAGATTTCGGGGCGTGTGAACGAAATGTTATTCACCTCAGTGATCACAAGATCGTACGGCGGATCGTTAGGTGGGTTTTTAATGAATTTCTGCATGTCCTCAGTGCCCATCAAGTCGCATAGGGCACTACCAAATTTCGTAGATTGGTAGTAAGTGACCCATAGTCCGATATGCTTCGCGAAGTCCACAGTGAGGCTATTCACCACGCTCTTGGCATCCTTGCTTAAATCGATAATGTCCGTATAATTGGCGATCGAATTCTTCGTCGGGAAATGCCCGATCATATCGATTCGATGTCCTCTTTCGGCCAACCCTCGACAGATCACCTCAAACATTTGATAATGGCTTCTTCCGCTGTACGGGAACACACATAAGATCCTAGAGG